AGGTTTAGTTTTTGATCCATTTTGAGTTACTGTATGTGCTGTGAGGCAAAGAGCCAATTTCATTTATTTGCATTCAGATGTTCATTATTTATTGAAGAGATTATTCTTTCTCATTAAATGGTATTGGCACATTTGACAAAAATCAGTTGACTTTAAATTATAAATTTATTTTCTGACTCTTCGTTCTGTTCCACTGATTTATGTGTCTATCCTTATACTAGTACCAAACCGTGTTGATTACTATAGCTTTGTAGTAAGTTTTGAAAATAGCAAGCTTGAGCCTTTGAATTTTGTTTTTTTTCAAGATTGTTTTGGCTATGTGGAGTGTCTCTTGCAATCTCATATGAACTTGAGGTCCAGTGTTTACATTTTTGCAAAAATAAAAGGTCATTGGGAATTCATAAAAAATGACATTGAATATGTAGCTAAACTTTGGGAGTGTTACCATCTTAACAATATTAAGTCTTCTAGCCATGAACACAGAATGCCTTTCTGTAGATTTAGGTCTTCTTTAAATTTTTTTAGCAACCATTTGTAGTTTTGAGTACATAAATAATTCACCCTTTGGTTAAATTTATCCCTAAACATTTTATTCTTTTTGATGCTATTGTAAATGGAGTTGTTTTCTTAATTTTATTTTCTGATTACTCATTGGTAGTATATGGAAATACAACTGATTTTTGCATTGATTTTTGTATCCTGCAACTTTGCTGAATTTGGTTGTTTTTTTAATGTAGATTCTTTAGTATTTTCTACATATAAAATCATGTCACCTTCAACTAGAGATAGTTTTATTCCTTTCTTTCTAATTTGGATGTATTTTCTTTCTTTCTTTTTTTTTTTTTTTTGAGGCAGGGTCTCCCTTTGTAGCTCAGGCTGGCTCTAAACTCACCATGTAGCCCAGGCTGGCCTCAAACTCACAGTGATCCTCCTGGCTCAACCTGCCGAGTGCTGGGATTACAGGTGTGCGCCACCACGCCTGGCTTGGATGTATTTTCTTTTTCTTGCCTAATTGCTCTGAACAAAAACTCTCAGTACAATGTTGAATAGAAATAGGTTATAGTCTATTAAGGTTATATAATTTTTTGGCATGAATGTTTAGTGTTTTTGCTTTTCTTTGTCTGTTTGCTATTCCTTGCTTCTGATCTTAGGAGGAAAACTTTCAGTCTTTCCCTGTTGAGTATGGTATTAGCCTTGGGGATTTCATAAATATTCTTTATCATTTGAAGATGGTCCTTTCTATTCCTAGTTCGTTGAGTGCTTTTATCATGAAAGTGTGTTGGATTTGTCAAATGCTTTTTCTGTATCCGTTGAGATGATCATGTCCTTCCCTTTCCTTCATGCTGTTAGTGTGCTGTATTACATTGATAGATTTTCATATATCAAACCACCTTTGCATTCCTAAAATACATTCCACTTGGCCATGGTGTATAATTCTCCTAATAAGTTACTAGATTTGGTTTGCCAAGATTTTTTGAGAATTTTTGCATCTGTATTCATAAGAGGTATTGATGGTATGTTATGTTTTTGTCTGACATTAGGTAGGAACTGTTACCTCTTCTTCAACTTTTGAGGGAGAAAAAGGATTGATCTTAATTTTAAAAAAATGTTTTTTAAAATTCACCAGTGAAGCTATCCGGCCTTAGACTTTTCT